CAGAGGCCGAAAGTGAACTTTTGCTGGATGAGGACCTGGATGCCGAGCTGGGGGCAGATTAGGTGTCGAGTTAACTGGGCCGAGCTGGGTAGGTTAGGTGCCGAACTGACTGGGCCGAGCTAGGCAGGTTAAGTGACGAGCTGACCAGAGTGTCGAGCTGCCTATTAGGTGCCGAGCTGACTAGAGGGCCGAGCTGCCTGGTGGCGAGCTGGATTGATTGTTGAGCTTCGTAGTTCTTTAGACCTGCAAGGAATCAATGTCAAAGGACCCAGAGTGGCTAACCCGGCGAGGTCGCTCCGATGCTTAAGTTAGTATTCTCATAATAGACTACGAGCTAAAAATCACAAAGTATGAGAGCTAGAATATGCTTATTTGCCCCCTGATGTCATTGGGGTTGGTGCCTTTATATAGGCATTGTTTAGCGTGGGCTTCACGCACCATATCCGAGATTTCCGAGAAGTCACCTAAGTGGTCTGAGATTCCCGGAGGCAATCGCCATGCACGGTGACCACCCTCCGGATCGTTCGGCATGTGAACCAAACACCAAGGATCGTGGGAGTGTTAGGATATGCATGCCGAATTTGTCGGCGAGCACGTCTTGCAGGTCACCAAGTCGACGCCTGTGCCAGGCCGCCAAGTGGGACACCATCAACTTGGCTAAGGCAAGTTGTAGCCTAAGTGGTTCCGGGTGTCACCTAGTTGTTTTGAGGTGCCATGTGTCACAATATCATTGGAGGGCCAAATCCGCCCTCATCAAAAGCTATTTTTTATTTAAATAGTGTGTCAATGATCCAACTTTTCAAAGAAATTCATGATGTCATAATTGAATAATAAATATTAAAAAAAAAAGATAGAAAAGTATAGAGTTTTGTCAAAGACACTTCGTAACTTTTCTAATATTATATAATCATCATATTAAATAAAAATAATTGTTAAAATAAAAATAATTTTTATTTAAGACAAAAATGGAATACAAAATTTAGTAACAATAACAATAATAATAATAATAATAATAATAATAATAATAATAATAATAATAAAAGAAAAAGAAAAAGAATTCATATGTTTCTGTAGGTGCACATTTAGTACAAGTATTTAAGTTTATTTTTAACCATATTGTTACTTTTATTAATTTTAAATTTCTATCCTAACTATGATATATCTATAATTAAAGTAA